TTGTCAAAGTTCCTTGTCAAGCTTGATCGAGTGAGGATCACACTGAGGAGAGAGCAGGGCCAATTGTCTCTTGTCATTAGGATGAATGGCCAGCCCAGAAGACAACACACCTGATGATAGTGTATTGATTGCAGAGAGCTGAATGAGGCTGGAAGGCATAAAAGAGAGCCTCTTCACACTTTGTTACTTACAGGCTCCTGGGGAACTGCTGACCATTTGGAGAAGGAGAGAGGATGCTATCCCAGATGATGGTAGTCACACTGGCTATACTGCTGGCTTGCTGCATTAACGCCTATCCTGTCTATCCTGAAAGCAATGGTGTCCAAGGTAAGGATAACTAACTTGTATGTTTGTGCTTGTAACCCAGGTGTTTTTTTTATTTGTGCACCTTGTTATAGCTGGCATTGACTGCTGGTCCCAATCATTTGGCCCATATCTAATGTTTCATGTGGGTTTGTCTGCCCCAGACACATACTGTAGTGCAGCTTCCTCCTTTTTCTTGGGGCAGAAAAGTCTTCTGGTCTGGGAAGCGGTTTCTGCAGTATTGCTTGGAGTATTGTACATACACTAGAGTTAAGTAGTTAGATCCCTATGGTGACCAGGTTGAGCAAAAGAAGACTAGCGTGTTCCTGAGGGTTTGACTGTTGTGATTGCAGAGCAGAGTTTGGGTGATATGTTCAGGTATTCTGGCATGAGAGATGCAATTGCCCTGGGAGTTAGCCAGGCTGGAGCACACAGACAAAACAGCCTTTCAGGCTCCCAGAGCCTGTGTCAGCTAGATCTAGGGGCTGGGGACTCCATTTGCAACCCGAGCTCTAAGGAAAGCATGAGTTTAGGGCCATATCTTGGAGACCTCCACGTGGGAGCAGAATTTGGCAACTGCTTGTACCCGTGCTTTGATCCTCTCGCGAGGTCCCGACAGTGGAGCCTTGCCCAGCCCACACATGGGCCCAAGGCATGTTGCCTGGGGTTTCTGGGAAGCAAGCGTCATAGAATCATAGAATGCTTAGGGTTGGAAGGGACCTCTAGAGATCATCTAGTCCAACCATGAGTTTAGGGCCATATCTTGGAGACCTCCACGTGGGAGCAGAATTTGGCAACTGCTTGTACCCGTGCTTTGATCCTCTCGCGAGGTCCCGACAGTGGAGCCTTGCCCAGCCCACACATGGGCCCAAGCCAAGGCATGTTGCCCGGGGTTTCTGGGAAGCAAGCGTCCATGGGCTCTTCAGGTCACTTGGCAGACTCATGGGGACTTCCGAAACTGCAGCAGCTCAGCTCTATGTCTGAGAAAAGGAAAATATGTCCCCAGCCAAGTTCTTGGGATTCCTCAGTCCAGAGCCCTGGATCCTGCAGAGCTCAGTGGGAGCATCCTGTGGGGCTGTGCATGGGCTCAGCAGGCACTGGAAGGTTAAAGGGGAAAACACTGGAAAACACCAGATCCACTTGGTGGTTTCTAATAAAATGTAATCTAATTAAACAAGGGGTTTGGTGCCTTAAAATGCACCTATCATTTCTTCCTGTGGTGACTTACGCTGTCCTTTCCTCAAAGCAATACAGACAGTCTGTGAGACAAACTCAGCTGGGCAGGATTTGTGCATGTGTTTACCTGACCTGTTTGGGATAAAGGGAGTCTGGATTTCACCTAGTCCCTGCCTGCGTGGATAGAGGTAGATGTGCTCTCGAATGCAATGTGATGCTGAAGAGCAGGATGGAGTGCTACAGGTTAGATGGCCCCAGTGAGCCTAGAGAGGAGATGCTGATGCCATGTCCACTCTTCTCCTGAGACAGGTTTCCTTGGTTCCTGCCCCTCACACCAGACTTGCAACTCCTGCTTGCTCATGGCTTTTCATACCTATCTGTTGAGTTTTGTTTTGTTTCTTCCAGGAAATAAAAACACTCTCCAGGAAGATGTTCCTGACCACCTGGTGAGTAGGGGATGCTGCCCTGGCTTTGAGGAAAGTGGTCAGGGGGTACAGTGCTGGGCAGATGTGTTCTGTGAGCCAGCTCCTCATGAGGTCTCGGGGAATGCTGTCACTGTGGACCCATAAAATGGAGACTGTCTTTTCTCAGAGGCTAGTGCTGGTGCCCTGACTGCTTCCCTCCTCAGCTGGGCAGGTAGGGGAGAGGGCTCGGGGGCTGGTTTTGCTGGATGTGCTCTATGCACCTGTGATGGGGCTGGTGTGACCATGGCAGGTGGAAGACCTCAAGGCAGTTCTCTGGAAGATAATGGCAGTGAGTGAGCTCCAGGGCCAGGGATCTACCCAAGCGGAGCAGGCCTCTCAGCAGCCCAACAAGAGAGGTAAGTGCTGGCTCCTGGTGGGTCCTGGCCTCCAGCCACATGAGGTCACTAGGCTACAGAGGGCTGCTCTCTTACCTCCAACCAGAAAGTGCTCTGCATAGCTGACCTGCAAAGAGCAGAGCTTGGGCACCAAGTGTGTGGTGAAGAGTGCCCATCTTGGGAGGAAGAATGCCCATGGTCTGGGATGGAGGGTGTCATTTGGTGGACTAAGGCAGAGTGAGCCACCCAGCTCCTGGATTGTGCTTAGTAGTGACTGCAGGGAGAAGAGATGGCTGTTGTTCTTCATTTAAGCTTGTCTGCTGTGGTTGCCAATGCTGCACATTGGCACATTGCCCCTTGCACAGCTTTCTTTTTCTTTCCCTTCCAGCTTGTTTCTGGAAATACTGTGTCACCAAGTGAGGGACACAAGAGGAGCCCTATCTACCACCTGCCTTCCAGCCTGCTCCATGAAACCTCCACACAAACACCCGCCAACTATCACCTCTTCACATGACCCTGCCTGGATACCACTCCAGTGAAAACTCTCCATTTCCTCATGGTGGAAAAGGGAGAGGATCTGCAGCAGAGAAGGGGTGTCACAGGGAAGGAGAAAAGTTCCATGAGGGTCCAGGACATGTTGTTCCCCATAGTGACATGGCTCTTGCCTGCATAGCAGGTGATCAGTGGGGAAAATGGCAGCCACAGCAAGGCAGAGCTGCCTTCACCCCCTTGCAGGGGCTTGCAGGCCACTAGCAGGAGCCAAGTGCAGGAAATGACACTGTGCAGGGATGAAAAGTGCTGTCCACTCACTGAATAAACCTCTTGCAGCTGAGCACTGTGTCCTGCCTTGCTCTATCCCATGGTTGCTCCATCTCCACGTCATGCCGGGCCCAGGTTCCTCCTGCTGCTGAGTGCAGGATGTGGGTAGGTCATAGTGAAGCATCTCTCCTGCAAGCAGAGCAGAGGGGCTGCAGGGACCTCATGGCCATGTGAAGCCTGCTGAGTCATGGGTGCCAGGTTGGTGGAGGCTGTGGGAGATCATCTAGTCCAACCCCCCCGTTCAAGCAAGGAGTTTCACCTATGTTAAACGCCAAGAGGGTTTCCACCATGGAGAAGATCCCTCCTTCTCTGCACACATAACAACAAGCAATATTAAAATAAAGTTTATTGTTGTTCTTGTTTAAAAAACAAACAACCCAAAACTCATTAAAAACAAAACCACTCCCCAAATCCAGCACTATCAGAAGCAGGCTTGCAAGGACACATTTTAGTATACAGAGGGAAGCAGTAGTGAGATCCAGAGGGTGATTCTGCCATTTCTGTCTCCATAGAGCCTGGTACATCCATACTACAGATACTACAGTATTTCTTCTTTTATTTTTATTTTTATTTTTTGGCCCATTGGCAAAAGACTGGGAGAGATGGCTGAATTCATAGGTGCTGGCAGGATGCCTGGGGAGCTGGAGGTATCTGATGGGAATGCAAGGTGACTTTTATTCATCTTCATCAAAGATCCTGGATGGGAAGGGATTGAAAAAGAGCCAAGGACAGTGGGCTGGCACCAAACCTGCCCGAGTATCTTCTGCAAAAACAATGCTTTGCAAGCCAGGTTTTGCCTGCTCTCTCAGGCTGACTGGTCCTGGGGTGTGGAAACCATATGAATGTCCTACCCTAAGCCTCTCCAGATCAGACACATGCAGTTTTGGTGGGGACTGAGGATGTGGTGGTGGACTTTGATTTGCACGTGGCTGCATCTCTCATGGTGTTAGATGAGGCAGAAACAGTAGCCAAGAGGGAATTTACACTGTTTGCATGGGGACCTAGGCACTTTCAGTCCTTCTAGCATGCTCAGGAGGAATGCTGTGGACCAGGCTGGTCTGCAATGAGATCCCAGTACACTGAGGAGATGCCCCTGCTCGGAGCTCTCTGCCAAGCTCCCATGCACCTCCTTCCCAACCCAAGACATGTCACACTCACGACAAGCATCATCCCTAGCATCTACATGCCCCCTACATCCCTGCAAGAATTAGATGAATGTTGTAATTCTTTGCCTTTAGCAGTGAAGGTAGTTAATCACTGCAATAAACTACTGAGAGCAGAATCTCTAGGTGTCTTCGTCTCTAATGTGGATGCCTTAGTGGAAGAGGCACCAGATACAGCTCTTACAGAAGAACGTCTGGGTGAATTCAACCAGCTACATCTCCCATGAATCCGTGATGTGCCAGCATCCCTGGAGACCTGGATGTTTTTTCCTAAGCATACTGGACTGCTGTGCAGTTTGACTGGCAGACGTAGAGCACAGGGCCGGGCAGAGCACGGCACTAGATGCTCATGCAGTTCCAGCAGTGTAGCTGGCAAGAGATTTCTTTGGGAAATCTCATCTCTTCCACCAAGGGTGCTGGTACAAAAGACTAGTGCTCAGATTTTCCTGTGACGTGTAGTTCCAGGCCATACTGGCAGCCCCAGAAGGAAATGAGTCTTTGATGAACAGGGAAGCAGTTGAAACTGCAGCCAGGTGGTGAGCAGTCCATACACACACTGAGGGCACATTAGGACTGCAGCCAGCCAGCAGAGGAGTAGAGAACAGCAGTGGCTGTGAAGCAAGGCACTCTTTCTGAAAGGCGGTGGCTAACGACAGTTTCTCTCTCAGCCGGGCTTTGGTTGTGTCAGGGCTACGGAGACACGGGGGCTCTGGATGGGGCCGTGCAGCCGGCAGGCTCCCAGCAGCCGCGCTAGGTCATCTTCTTGGCGACGCTGGCGTAGGTGCGCTCTATCTCTTCATCTGCAGGGCACGTGTGGCTGAACTCGTCGCAGGCATAGGCGTTGTGCAGGTAGCGCCACACTCCCGTCATGTCTGCTGGGATCTCAAAGTCACGGTACTTCTTGGCTGCGATCTAGAGTGGAAGGGCAGGAACAGAGGGGAGAAAAGGAGGCTGAGACTCAAGAAGGATTTGCTTCCTATCAGGATGGGACGAGTAGGGACTCTCATGCTCACATCACCACCCCCAGGCCCTTTACCGTGTCCCATCACCACCTCCCACAGTGGGTATCCTCTGTTTTGGTCAAGTGGAGCCAGTGCTATTACCTTGATAATGTTCAGTTTGGGCAGGAGGTTGCAGTCAGCTAGCGTCAGGTGGTCTCCATCCAGGAATTTTCTCTTGGAGACTGTGACATCCTCCATGCTGTCCTGGTCGACCTCCTCAGGGAGAGGGGTGTTCAGGTAGAGATCCAGGCGGTGAAACTCCCGCAGTAGGGCCTTCTCGAAATCTGGGTGGACAGGAAAACACTCGGAGTCAGCCTGAAACACCCAAATCTGGTGGCTCCCTGCAGCTCCCAGCACAGCGCCAGGCCCTCTGACCAAGCAGCTGAGCCTCTCCCACACTTCACATATGGGCTTGGGTACCCGGACCCCTGCACGACACAAACTTTGGGAGCAGGGCTGTAGGGCGACATGTATCTAAGCATTGGTCATGTCCCCATATTATGATTAGATCTGATGAGCCTCTTCTCTGCTAACCGGAGCCAAAAGCGAGGGCCAGCGTTGCAGTGTGGCCTCTTGCTGTTGACCTCCAGGACGTGCTTTCAGCAGCAGGGCAGGCTGCCAAGGGTCCTGGCCCCGGGCTAGCGCCCGCACAGAGCTCCACACTGGCCAGAGTCATCAGCCCCGCTAGCACAGAGGGATCAACAAGATTGATTCCGTCCTTCCTGCCTGCTCTTCCGCTAGTTGGGGAGGCTTCACTGGGGATGGCAACAAGCCTGAAGCTGCAGGAATCCCAGCCTTGGTGCTGGATTTACCCATCAGCAAGCAAGATGCTTTCCAACAAATGTGCTGCCCGCCCCCAGAGAAGCAGCGTGACAGCCCCTGGGCCCTGTGGTGATGACTACCAAGACGCCTCCTCAGTAGCACAGCTACCCCTGGCCACAACCACCCACTGTTCACAGGCGGGGGGACCCTGCACCCCACTGGCCGACGTCTCTTACTGATATTTGCTTCCTTGCGTGGGTTCTTGATGTATGCCGAGAATTTGGCAAAGATGTCACTGCCAACATCAAAGGACTCCTTGTATTTGGGACTCAGGTGTGGATACCTTTCAAGAGATGCTTCCATCAGTAAAGGCAAGAAAAGAGCCAGAGATCTGGCTGCACAGTCCTTAACCACATGCTGGTTTCCAGCCACCTCCCACCACCCTGCCTCAGTTTTTCTATTTGCCAAGAACTGCTCGATGCTGCTAAGCGCCCTCCAGGCCGTGAAAGGGGGAAGGAGTAAGTTATAATTACGTGGGTGGGCCAAGGGTCTGCTCCAGGAACTCCTCAATCTTTATGAAGTCTGTTTTCAGCTCCTTGTTGTACAGCAAGAAGGGTGGGTTGGTGCCTGGTGCTAAATCTTTTAGCTCTTCAGGTTTCCTGAAACAAAGCAAATAAGTGGTCTCAGAGCCTGCAGACTTTCTGCACCAGCCAGTTTCCCTAGAACAATGAACACGACCTGGATGGGCACAGAGCCAGGAGCATCCCTGTCTACACGCTCTGCTGGTTAGAGAGGGCTGGGAAGTGCTCTCCAGCCCTTCTGCCTGCCTTGGACCTGTATGCAGACAGACATACATGCAGATGGATGTTGTCCTTGTGTGCACTTGCATGTGAACACAGCTCGACGCTGGCCCATCCCATCCAGCCATGCAGTGCGGTGACTGTGCAGGCAGGGAAACTTGGGGTGGGAATTGTCACCGCTGTCCCCCTTACAATGAGGTTCCAGTGCAGGACATGTTGCAGGAGCAGGACCGGGCAGCCCATGCTGGCAGGAATGTTTTGGGGAGGAGAGTTCAACCACGGGCTGTCTCATTATACAGGTTCCGGTGGCACAGAGCTGTGACATGTTATGATCTCACCTGGTCATGTCCACTGTGGTCACATTGAACTTGACTCCTTTGAGCCACAGCACCATGAAGAGGCGCTGACAGAAGGGGCAATTTCCAATGTTTTCTCCATCCATACCAGCCTGCAAGGAAAGCAGAAAAATCAGGGATTTTAACCAACATGTGGAACACTGCCAAGGATGCCCTGAAATCTGAAGAGAGGGTAGCTCTGTGCCGTTACAGTGCCCTACAGCCTTCTGTCCAGATCTGCAGGACCTCTTAGGGAGACCTAGAGATTTGGGGTCCTGGCACAGGTTCCTGTGACAACAGGAATTTCATCACAGGGTCTATGTCTACCTGTCTGTCTACCTATCTACCTTCCATGCAGCACATGCACGTGCCAGGCGCCTGAATGCTGTATGCCGGGACAAAGGGGCCAAGTCCTGTTGACTGGGCTCTGCCTTTGCAAAATCCCAGCCCACAAAGCTGGGCTCTAGTAGGGCTGCTGGCACCGATCACAGGAGAAAGGCACCCAGGGGACATGGCCTAAGCCCTAGCCCAAGCCAGTGTGCCCTCCAGCGAGCCCGTTAACGTAGCTCTGCCCTGCAAACCGATCCTGTCTTGGAACTGCAGGACCCCCCTTCCTGAGCCATGGTCCTGCTGCTGTTGGAAAGTACTGGAGACTGTCCTCAGGATGACCGGGGTCAGATCCTCCTTCCCAGGATGTGAGATAAAACAGGGAGGAGGAGGAGGCTGAGGGAAGGAGGTGGAGGGTGATTGATAATAGATGGGGAGGAAGGGAGGAAGGGAGGGTCCACTTGGCTTGAAGGCCAGTCTCAGGAGGGCGGACACAAAGGGAAATGTGCTCATGTTTGCCAGGAAAAGAGTGGTTTGTTTTTGTGTGCTTTTAGCGTCCAACTTTTTCTTTCGTGTTTACAGAGAAATTCCCCAGGCTGAGGATGGCCAAGAGCCACACAAACAGCTTCCCTCACCTCTGGGAGGAGAAAGGGTCACTTGCTTGTGCTCCCCATCGCTTTCCTCCCTTGGTATGAGGTTGAGGGGTGAGAAGAGGCCTTGCCTGCAAATTGCCCACTGAGCTGCATCAAACTACTGTGCTGGTCCAATGCAACGAGTGGTCCTGTGCCCAGGGGAACTGTGCAAGAAGCATGGGGCAATGGTAGGATGGACAGGGCAGGATGGACAGGCTGGGGGTCCCACCCCAAGGATGCTGCTGCTACGACCCAGCCTGCCTCTGCTGACCCACCTTGGACCTCTCTGCAATTGCCATGTAACTCCAAGCTCTGAACATCTCAAGGTGATTTTCCCTCTTGTCTTTTAAAAACAGACAGGTGGGTGATTATAGACCAGAAAGGAAAATGAGGAGAACCCCCGCAGGAAAAAAATTAAGCCAGGCTCATACTTGGGTGCTCAGAGCCAAATCTTTATTGAGAGGAAATGGGGGCAGTTCCACCAGCGTTTGAACGACGGCGAGAGTGAAGGGCTGCATGTTGGCCCAGGGAGCCAAGGGAGCCCTGACAGCCACCATGGCCCGAGTGGGCACTGTGCGCCCAGACACCCTCGCACACGAGGGAGCTCTGAGGAAAGCAGCTTGCAGAAAGCCGCAGCCATGTGCCTGCCTTCCCCAGCAAAGCTTGAGCGACAAGGAGAGGAAGTCTCTGCTGGTTGCTTCCTTTCCAGAAAGCGCCTCTTCCCCTGCTGCAGCCCAGCAACCAGGCAATGCTTCGAGATGCACAGGGCAGATCCCACTGAGGGCTGCTGAATGCCTGCCTGGGGAGGCAGCACTGGCAGGGGGTGGAGGATTTTGGTCTGGGCTGGTCTCTGCCATAGAGGCTACCAGAGGGCTGGGTATGGGCAGATGGGTGGGACACAGAGGGCCAGGCTTGGGCCAGCACAGCTTTTCCAGGGTGGTGCAGGCTTTTAGCCCAGACTCTGCACCTTTGCAAGGAGTTGAAACACCCAAAGTTACTCAGAAGTCCCGTGTTTCCTTCCTTGCATAAAACATGGTGGGAGGGGGGAGGTGGCGAGCATGCCGGGGCAGTTACAGCAGTGCGCAGTATCCCAGGCCCTTCCCAGTGTCTAAAGATGACAAGTTGGTAACGATGAGAAATCCTTCATGGACTCATGGGAACTGCCACCTCCAGATGTGAAGGCAATGTGGGGCGCTGCGTCACACCTGCCCCATCGCTGCCAAGCTAATTTAGCCCATGCTGAAAGCTCAGCCAGCCCCCGAGACGGTGCCGTGAACTGGTGCGTACTTGAAGCCAGGGCGCTCGCATGAGTCTTGGCTCACTGGCAACACCCTTCCTAGGACACTCGTGATTTACGGCCATCACCATAAATCCTGGGACAAGCAGCAGTGTCTCAGAGGGCCCAGTTGCTGCCAGGGAAGCATGTGGGGTGCCCAACACCCTGTAGCACAGTGGATTGCTCTTTGCTTAGCCCCCTCAGATCAGACCCAACTTCAGTAAATCGGTGTCTCGAAGAGCAAAGAACAAGACGTGGCGTCAGTTTGTCTGCTAACTTGTCAGAGGGGGGTTTCAGAGCTAAATTAAGATTTAGGGGAAGTTCCTGACTAAGCTGCTGCTTTGTTTTCTGTTTCTCTTCCCCATGAAACCCCCTCATGCCTCCCGCCACCATCACAGCAGCTTGCGCGCCGGTTTCCTCTCAGCGCTAGACACTGAGGTGGCGGGGCAGGAAACAGCCTGCGAGGTGAGAGCTGAGCCTGCGCTACATGGGCAAGAAAACGCGCTCGCCAGCTTCCACCCTGCACAGCTCGGGCCGGGCGGCTCTCCTGGGGGCCACCACAGCTCCAACCACAGACACTAGAGAGACCACCTTCGCTAAGCCACCAGTAATCCTCTCTGACATATATTTCGAATCACATCCCTCCACGAGGAAGGGCATTGGTGTGGTGCCAATGTGAGCCCGCACCCAGCGCGGGCTGGTGGGAAACCAGCTCCTGTGGATCGCTGCCATGGTCCTTCAGGACATGGCACTTGGCTGCCCAGAGGCTGCATGGGGAAGTGTCCTTAGTGCCATGGTGGCATCGGGTGGCCTCGCTCTTCCCCTGACTGCTTGCGACACACAACAGCAGCAGGGATGGGGCCACGTCCTGCCCCAGGGCCTCTCTGCCGCTGGTGATTGCGTATGTGCTCTCAGGGATCTGGCCCCGGCCCCGCTCTCTCTACTCCCCGTGGATGTTTGGAGCGACAGTGGTGAAATGTTCCAGAGGAAGTGTTTGAAAAATTGCTTAACGGAGTTAAAAAGCGTTTCCAGCGAATTATCCCCTCCGGCTGACCGAAGAAGCCGCCCGTCCCTCCCTCCGCATCCGCCCCCACACAGGCGCTCCCGCGCGCTCCCCAGCCCTGCCATGGATGTTTCACAATGCCCGCACGAGGGGGACCCGAGGCAGCTGCCCCCTGCATTTCAGCCCTGCTTTTCCCAGCCCAGGGCTGCTCACGAGGGCTCTCTGGGGTCCCTCATGCACCCACCCTGCTGCTTTCTTACAATCGCTGCCTGCTGTGCTCAGGGGCAGGGCACTGCCACGGCCACCAGCACCGTGGCCAGGGCTGGGTGCCGCCCGGCTCTGCGGGGCAGCGAGATGGGCACGACACCCATCCCTGCCCCACCAACGTGCCCCGTGGGCAGGCTGCGGGCGTCCCGCATGCCCAGCCTCCGGGCTTGAGCAGGAGAAGTCGTTCAAAGGAGCCCATTTCCACGCCGAGCTACCCTCAGTCAACACGGGAAGAGGCTCGGAGGACTCACCTTCACAAAGAGCTCGATCTCGGGCTCCTTCACGGGACTGCGCGGCTGGTTCTCCATGCTGGGGGGACCACTGGCTGCTCACTGCAGGGCTGAGTCAACCGTTCTCTGCCAACCCCCCCGGGTGAGCGAGCAGGGAGGCGTTTCCAGGCTGTCTCCCGCAGCCCCGTTGCGCTCTCACCCACGGAGGGCTGCGGCTTTGCCCTTTCCTTCCTTTCGGGGAGGAGCGATGGGGTGTTCACAGCGACCTGCGAGAGGGGTGAGGGGAACGGCGGAGGCCTCCCAGAAGTTACTCAGCACGATTTATCTGCGTTTACAGGTCTATCAAGCCACCGTCTATCAAGCCCGTCCAGGCGCTGCCCTCGAGCCTCCTAGGAGTGGGCTCGCAGCCCAGAATGTCCCGTCACTGATGCTGCAAGCGCCACGCTTGAGAGCAGAGTGGGTTTTTCTTGCACAGGAAACGCGCAGGAAGCATTTCGCACATGGGTTCTCTCACTGGCCCGGCCCAGGGGGGAAGGTCTTCACAGTCTCCATGGTCCCCTCCTTGTCCCTGGCTACCCATCCTGTGCCCCTCAGGGCTGTGGCTCTGCCCCCTGCCAGAGGGACACCCTGCCTTGGTGCCAGCAGCACCCACCACATCCTTCTGGAGCTGCCTCCAGCGGTGCCCGGCACCGGGAGCCCAGCTGGGCAGGGGGCTCTGAGCGGGTCCCAGTGCTGACCCCCAGCCCCTCTCTCCTTGGCATGGATTGACCTGAATCCGCCTCCATTCGCCTCACAAGATCCCATGTTGCAGACACAAGTGCAGCTGCCAGGATTGAGAGGACATCTCTTGCCCATGCCCGCCATTCAGTGCAAGGAGCAGAGGAGCAAGGCAGGGAAAGACAGAGGCCAAGTGATGCAGCTTGGCTGTCTGCCACCCCTCCTTGCAGCTTGCTGAGGGCTGTCAGGGTAAGGATTTTTGGCAAAAGAACCAAGGAGAGAAAGCCCAGAGCATGCTAGGGCCTGGGGAATCCCGAATCCTGCTGGCAGCGGTTCACCCGGGGAGGTGCA